GTGTCCTTGTGTTTCCTTGGCAAGTATAAATCCTGGCTTTTCTATTTACTGTTTGTGTGTCCTTGGGCAAATTAGGTAACCTCAATCTGCCCATTCCTAAGCAATTACAATTATACCTACTTCACAGAGGATTAAATGAGTTGGTATCTACAAAGACAAAGACAGTTTGCACAGAATGATGGTTTCTAGCTTAATCCAGTCTGTCACTGATGGACATTTGGGCTGGTTCCAAGTCTTTGCTATTGTGAATAGTGCTGCAATAAACATATGTGTGCATGTGTCTTTATAGCAGCATGATTTATAATCCTTTGGGTGTATGCCCAGTAATGGGATTGCTGGGTCAAATGGTATTTCTAGTTCTAGATACTTGAGGAATTGCCACACTGTTTTCCACAATGGTTGAACTAGTTTACAGTCCCATCAACAGTGTAAAAGTGTTCCTATTTCTCCACATCCTTTCCAGCAGCTGTTGTTCCCTGACTTTTTAATGACTAAACACCGCATGTTCTCACTTATAGGTGGGAACTGAACAATGAAAACATTTGGACACAGGATGGGGAGCATCACACACCGAGGCTTGTTGTGGTGTGGGGGAAGGGGGGAGGGATAGCATTAGGAGATATACCTAATGTAAATGAGGAGTTAATAGGTGCAGCCCACCAACATGCCACATGTATACATATGTAACAAACCAGCATGTTGTGCACATGTACCCTAGAACTTACAGTATAATAATAATAATAATAAAGACAGAAGAGTGCCTGGGCATAGCCATAATATGTCTTTATTAAATAATACAAATGTATAAACTCTTTTATGAGGATAATCTGGAAGCTGTTCTTTGGTCAAATATACTCCTTCCTCCCTTCCTTCCTTCCTTCCTTCCTTCCTTCTTCCTTTCTTCTTCCTTTCTTCTTCCTTTCCCCTTCCTTCCTTCCTTCCTTCCTTCCTTCCTTCCTTCCTTCCTTCCTTCCTTCCTTCCTTCCTTCCTTCCTTCTTTCCTTCCATGGAGTCTCGCTCTGTTGCCCAGGCTACAGTGCAGTGGCATGATCTCTGCTCACTGGAACCTCTACCTTTTGGGTCCAAGCAATTCTTGTGACTCAGCTTCCTGAGTAGCTGGGATTACAGACTTGTGCCACCATGCTGGCTAGTTTTTGTATTTGTAGTAGAGACGGGGTTTTGCCATGTTGCCAGGCTGGTCTTGAACCCCTGACCTCCGGTGATCTGCCTGCCTCAACCTCCTAAAATGCTGGGATTATAGGCGTGAGCCACTGTGTCAGGCCTCAAATATACTTTAGTAGCAATACTTCCCTACTAGAAGTTAGAATTAAATTCTGAAGTTATTCTACATGCAAAGAGTCTAAAACCATTCAGACTGGATAGATATTGTTATGGCTGTTAGGTTACATTAGTAGGTATATATTTTCTAGAAGAGAACTGGCAGGGCATGGTGGCTCACACCTGTAATTCCGGCATTTTGGGAGGCTTTGGTGGAAGGATCACTTGAGCCCAGGAATTCATGGCTGCAGTGAGCTATGATGGCACCACTACACTGTAACCAGGGTGACAGAGCAAGACTATCTCTAAAAAAATAAAAAAAGCAATAAGAAAAAGGAGGTGAGATCATAATTACAGTCAGTCCTTCTAAGAGCCCGAGTGATTTGAGGGCTCTTTTTAGTTATACTTAAGTCCTTTGGTCCATGGTCTGACAGCGAATCAAAGCATTTAATTAGAGTCAACATTCTCCTCCCTCCCCTCCCTCCCCCTCCCCTGCCCTCCCTTCCCCTCCCCTCTCCCTCCCTCCCTCCCTCCCTCCCTCCCTCCCTCCCTCCCTTCCTTCCTTCCTTCCTTCCTTCCTTCCTTCCTTCCTTCCTTCCTTCCTTCCTTCCTTTTCTTCCTTTCTTCTTTTCTCTCTCTCTTTTTTTTTTTTTGAGACAGAGTTTCATTCTGTCATCCAGGCTGGAGTGCAGTGGTGCAATCTCAGCTGACTGCAACCTCTGCCTCTCTGATTCAAATGATTCTCCTGCCTCAGCCTCCTGAGTAGCTAGGATTACAGGCATGTGCCACCACACTTGGCTAATTTTTGTATTTTTAGTAGAGACAGGGTTTCACTATGTTGGCCAGGATGGTCTCGAACTCCTGACCTCCAGTGATCCGCCCATCTCAGCCTCCCAAAGTGCTGGGATTACAGGCATGAGCCACCGTGCCCGGCCTAGAGTCAACATTTCTAATGAAGGCCTCACTCTCTCCCTTAGATAAATGTGTCCCTTAGCAGTGACCACATTTTGAGATCACAGTCGGTAAATAGATCTTGCTGTCCTCCCATCTTATAGGTCTAGCCTGGAGCATTGAGACCTATCCATTTTGTGAGATATGGAATTTCAGTTGCCATAGTTGGAAAAGAATGCCACTGTTGGCAACTTAAAATATGACAGATGCAGGCGATTGAAAACAATCGTCGTTGTTAGGCTAAAAGTAGGAGGACACAGGAGAACCCTGATAGCGGGCTTCAAACCATGGGAAGGGCTGTCACAGGGAGGGAAGAAGAGAAAGAACACTTATTAAATACTGATGTGTTTGGGCTTTATGTCTCTTATCTATTTTTTTTTTTTTTTTTTTTGAGACAGAGTCTCACTCTGTCACCCAGGCTAGAGTGCAGTGGTGCCATCTCGGCTCACTGCAACCTCCGCCTCCTGGGTTCAAGCAATTCTCCTGCCTCAGCCCCTTGAATAGCTGGGATTACAGGTGTTTGCCACCATGCCCAGCTAATTTTTGTATTTTTTTGGTAGAGACAGGGTTTCACCATGTTGTCCAGGCTGGTCTTGAACTCCTCACTTCTAGTGATCTGCCCACCTCAGCTTCCCAAAGTGCTGGGATTACAGGTGTGAGTCATTGTGCACCCAGTCCCTTTATCTAATTAAATGATCACAACAATCCCATGGAAGTCTGCTGTACAATTGCCAGTAAACAGAGGGGGAAGAAGTAAAGTGACTTGCCCACCTCCCCTAATTGGCGCGTGCTACAGTCAGCCCGGGAATCCTAGTTGGTCAGATCTTTCAGCCTCCTCTCAGCAGCACCATAACACGATTGCATCATGTGCATGCAAGACAGAGCTTTCTAAGATTTAGAGCTGGTGGGATGGTGTGGAAATTATGTAGTGGTTTCCTCTTCTCAAAGATGTTCAAGCAAATGCTTGATGACTGTTGTCAAAAATACTGAATAAGTGGCCAGGTGTAGAGGCTCAGACCTGTAATCCCAGCACTTTGGGAGGCCAAGGTGGGCAGATCACCTAAGGTCAGGAGTTCGAGACCAGCCTGGCCAACATGGTGGAACCCCTTCTCTACTAAATATACAAAAATTAGCCATGCATGTTGGCACCTGTAATCCCAGGTACTCAGGAGGCCGAGGCAGGAGAATTGCTTGAGCCTAGGAGGCGGAGGTTGCAGTGAGCCAAGATTACCCCAACCCAGCTTGGGCGACAGAGCGAGACCATGACTGAGGAGAGTGAAAATGGATAATCTATGAAGGCACCTACCAACTTTAAGGTTCTGAGTTCTATACTTTGGGACTGGACATACAGCTAAATTAAGTGATTTTTTTTTGTCCCCTGTATTTTCTTTTCTCTTTTCTTTCTTTCTTTCCTTTCTTCCTTTCTTCCCTCCTTCCCTCCCTCCCTCCCTCTCTCTCTCTCTCTCTCTTTCTCTCTTTCTTTCTTCTTTCTTTTTGAGATGGAGTCTAGCTTTGTCTCCCAGGATGGAGTGCCGTGGTGTGATCTCCGCTCACTGCAATCTCCACCTCCTGGGTTCAAGTGATTTTCCTGCCTCAACCCCCCGAGTAGCTGGGATTACAGGTGTGCACCACCATGCCCAGCTAATTTTTGTATTTTTAGTAGAGACAGGGTTTCACCATGTTGGCCATGCTGGTCTCGAGCTTCTGATCTCAAGTGATCCACCCACCTCGGCCTCCAAAAGTGCTGGGATTACACGTATGAGCCACCACACCCAGCCTCTTTTCTTTTTCTTTTCTTTTCTTTTCTTTTCTTTTCTTTTCTTTTCTTTCTTTTCATTTCTTTTCGAGACATGGCCTTGGTCTGTTGCCCAGGCTAGAATGCCATGATGCCATCACAGCTACTGTAGGCTCAACCTCCTGGGCTCAAGCCATCCTCCCAAGTCAGCCTCGTAAAGTAGCTGGGACTACAGGCATGCTCTACCCCCACCTGGCTAATTTTTAATTTTTGTAGAGATAGGGTCTTGCCATGTTTCCCAGGCTGATCTCAAACTCTTGGGCTGAAACAATTGGCCCGCCTCGGTTTCCCAAAGTGCTAGAATTATAGGCATGAACCACCATGCCTGGTGGTGGTATATTTCTTAACACCAAGGTATGTGAATAGAGACCAATTTTTTTTTTTTTTTTGAGATGGAGTCTCCTCCTATCACGCAGGCTGTAGTGTAGTGGCGCAACCTCGACTCACTGCAACTTCCACCTCTGGGGTTCAAGCCATTCTCCTTCCTCAGCCTCCTGGCTGGGATTATAGGTGTGCGCCACCATGCCCGGCTAATTTTTGTAGTTTTAGTAGAGATGGGGTTTCGCCATGTTGGCCAGGGTGGTCTTGAACTCCTGACCTCAGGTGATCCACCCGCCTCGGCCTTCCGAAGTGTTAGGATTACAGGCGTGAGCCCCTACGCCCGGCCTAGAGACCTCTTCTAAACTCCGAAGGCACAGGGTGTGCCCTCTGAACAGCAACAGAGTTTGTTGCAAACCTGAAATTTCTGGTCCTTTGCTGCCCCTTTGTGGACTAGCTGGAAACAACAGCCCAAGATATCCCTGTAGGAGCATGAAATTGGACTTGGGAGAAAGGGCACGAGAAGAACTGGCAGAGGTTTGAAGGCTGGTGGAGGATACAAGGGAGTCAGGAACTGTCCTTTTCTCCAGCAAGGCTGGGGTTCCCAGGAGAGAGGCCTAGAACTCTTTCAAACTGTTAATGACTTCAAGAAACTCTCTTCTTTTTCATGATCTTTATTTTTCCTCGAGACACTTGGATCCAGTAAGCGAGTGACCATCTCAAGACTGCCAGCCATGCACCTCTGTACATTTTTGGCCCCAAGCAGCAGCCGTGGGCCTAGTGCCAACCCTCACACGCTAGCTACCTCCTCCTGCGCTTGGAGTGGAAAGTCTGTGGGGTTCTCTCTCTGGTTCTGCAAGCTTTTCACACCATCTCTTCGCTGTCTGTCTCTATGCTAGGGGTTTCACACAACTCTACACCATTGCATTCATGCCTGCTGCATCCCTGACTTTCTGCACAAGTGCAGGGCAGAGATGGCCCTTTTGTTTTGGTGAGGGAGAGAGGGGAACACTTGGGCACAAAGAGGGGAAGGGACTGTGAATCCCGGGGAGCACCCTGGCCAGATCCCAGCGGTGTTTGAATCCCAGGACCATGTTTCATCTACAGCCTAGCTGCCTCCTTCCCTGGTCAACCCTTCCTGGGTGCCCATCCACCACACTGCCCAACCTCACTCCCCGTCCCCTCCCACAAAGAGTGACAGTGGCCTGGGACTCGGCCTCTCCTGACCCCAGGGGAGGATGGGTGATCTGGGCCTCCTGCTACCTGCCACCTGGGCCTCCTATCTCCAGCTGGGAGCCAGGGACCCACCCACAGGCCTGGCCTGACCTCTCTCCCCCTCCCCTCATGCTTCTAGACCCTGCCGCAGCCTGCGGTCCAGGGCCAGGAGCTGCCTCAGGAAGCCCCGGTTGGGGATGATGCCTCGGTGGTCTTTGACTTTCTTGATGGCCTCCACAAGGGTGAGGTGGTGGTACAGCATGAGGTAGGCCAGTACCAGGGTGGCAGATCGGCTCACGCCCACGGCACAATGCACCAGGATCTTCCCTGAGAGGAGAGACACAGAGAGAGAACTTCGAGACTGCTTGTGGCAGCTTGGAGGAGGCTGGGGAAAGGGTGACATGGGGCTGGGCACAGTGGCTCACGCCGGTAATTCCAGCACGTTGGGAGGCCGAAGGGGGCAGATCGCCTGAGGTCAGGAGTTTGAGACCGGCCTGGCCAACATGGTGAAACCCCGTCTCTAATAAAAATATAAAAATCAGCTGGGCGTGGTGGCACATGCCTGTAATCCCAACTACTCAGGAGGCCGAGGCAGCAGAATCGCTTGAACCCAGGAGGCAGAGGCTGCAGTGAACCAAGATCGTGTCATTGCACTCCAGCCCAGGCAACAAAAGCGAAACTCCAGCTCAAAAAACATGGACAGGGAAAAGGAAGACAGGTAAGTACAGGTGCGTGAAGACAGGAATGGGTGCAGATGAGTGGATGTTACGAATGCAGATCCCTGGCAAAAGGGGAGAGGCCTGGACAGAATGAGAGAAAGGTGACATGCAATGGCTCAGTGTCCATAAACCTGAAAGGGGTCAAAGGTGGAGACCCACCACTGATGTAAGAGCCAGCTTTGCATAGAGTAGCGTGAATGAATCAATTGAAAACACTGTCGTTACCAGCCCCTTCCTCTATCTCCCCACCATTCCAGCTTGTTATTCTCAACCATTGAATATATGTATGTATTTAGAGACAGGGTCTTGCTCTGCCTCTCAGGCTGAGTGTAGTGGCACAATCATAGCTCATTACAACCTCTAATTCCTGGGCTCAAGAAATCCTCCTGCTGGCTGGGTGCAGTGGCTCACACCTGTAATTCTAGCACTTTGGGAGGCCGAGGCGGGTGGATCACCTGAGGTCAGGAGTTCGAGACCAGCCGGGCACACATGGTGAAACCACGTCTCTATTAAAAATGCAAAATTAGCTGGATGTGGTGGCACGCCCCTGTAATCTCAGCTACTTGGGAGGCTGAGGCAGGAGAATCACTTGAACCCAGGAGATGGAGGTTGCAGTGAGCCGAGATCACGTCACTGCACTCCAGCCTGGGCGACAGAGCAAGACTCCATCTCGAAAAAACAAAAAAGAAAACACCGATCACATATAATCATGCCACCCAGGTATAACTTGACACTCTTAACATTTTTGATAATTTCCTTCTTGTCTTTTTCTGTATTGCTTTAAAAAAATGGTTGAGATATTTTTTTCTTTCTTAACAAGATCCTGAGCGTTTTGTGATGTCACTGAAATCTCACTCCACTCTCAGACCCTTGGACTTCCCCAAATTCCAGGTACCCTGTTCTTTCCTGCTCCTGGCATTCCCCTCCTACCTCCTGGCTGGCTCAGTGCCCGGTGGATGAAGTCAGCCGCCGTCTGGAAGTGGATGCTCATGTCAAAGGCTGGCGAGTCGTGGGCCTCAACACCCAGGTAGCGGATGCCCAGCCCCTCATAGGCCTCGGGCGTGCCTCGCCACCGGCTGTGTGAGGCATTGAGGACGTGCGTAATGCCCAGGCGGCGAAGCTCCCGGCGGTTGCTAGCCATATCCCTGCATTGAGTAGAGGTTAAAGGAAGAGTAGGAAAGACAGGTTGTTGGGGAAGAGTCCCTTGAGTACACCCTGTTCATTTCCTGAATCCTATTGTTGATTCTTTTTTGTTTGTTTGTTTGAGATGGAGTCTCATTCTGCTTCCTAGGCTATAGTGTTCACTGCTGCCTCCATCTCCTGGGTTCAAACGATTCTCCTGCCTCAGCCTCTCGGGTAGCTGGGATTACAGGCACATGCCACTACATCCAGATACTTTTTGTATCTTTGGTAGAGATCGGGTTTTACCATGTTGGCCAGGCTGGTCTTGAACTCCTTGAGTTCAAGGAGTTGAACCTCAAGTCATCCTCCCACCTCAGCCTTCCAAAGTGCTGGGATGACAGGCGTGAGCCATCATGCCTGGCCTCCTGGATCCTACTATTGGCCTAAGCACACTATTTTACTTACTAGTGACCCAGAAGGGAGGAATCAAGATGGGCAATGACTTGGAGTCTTGTCTTGTGAGCCGTGGTTGAAGGTATAGGGGATATTTTGCTTGGAGAAGAGAAGACTAAGGGGATGGGGTAAAAATAGCCATAATAGAACTGAAAGTGTGTTTTCTGGAATTGGGATTGTCTTGGATCTGTAGGGTTCTCAAGGCGAGAATCAGGATCAAGGAATTAAAGCCCCAGGGAAGCAGATTTCATTTTTTTGAGGGGGAGGGGGGACAGAGTCTTGCTATGTCTCCCAGACTGAAGTGCAATGGTGCAATCTTGGCTCACTGCAACCTCTGCCTCCCAGGTTCAAACAAATCTCCTGCCTCAGCCTACTGAGTAGCTGGGATTACAGGTGCCCACCACCATGCCCAGCTAATTTTTGTATTTTTAGTAGAGATGGGATTTCACCATGTTGGCCAGGCTGGTCTTGAACTCCTGACCTCATGATCCACCCACCCAGGCCTCCCAAAGTGCTGGGATTGTAGGCATGAGCCACTGCGCCTGGCCAGCTGATTTCAATTTCATACAAGGAAGTACATTTTAATGGTGGAGTCTAGCTAAGGAAAGGGTGGAGCACCTCGGGAGAGAGTGGTTTTCCTGTCCCTGGGGTATTCAGGCAGAAAGAGGAGATGGCCATGCAGCCATGATGCTGCAGAGGGGAAATGAATGTCAGGCAGATTGTTCTGCTCATTTCATCGGTCCTGCTCACCCTGAGATAGTTTGGTTCTGACATCCATTCCACACGTAACTCCCCTGTGTCTCTACTCTTGTTGACACCCAGAACCCTCTTGTGTATTTGCCAGATATTCCAAGGCTCACATTTACCATTTTTTTTTTTTTTTTTTTTTTTTGAGATAGTGTCTTGCTCTGTCACCTAGGCTGGAGTGCTGGAGTGCAGTGGCACAATCTCGGCTCACTGCCACCTCTGCCTCCCGGGTTCAAGCAATTCTCTGCCTCAGCCTCCCAAGTAGCTGGGATTAGAGGTGCCCACCACCACGCCAGGCTAATATTTGTATTTTTAGTAGAGACGGGGTTTTGCTATTTTGGCCAGACTGGTCTTGAACTCCTGACCTCATGATCCACCTGCCTCAGTATCCCAAAGTGCTGGGATTACAGATGTGAGCCACCACGCCTGGCCACATTTACCCTGTTTTATGACATCGCCTTCAGGTGTTCATCTGGCCCAGACCCCTCAGCTTGGTGGCAGATGCCCCTGGGCACCACAGTCATATCTCAGGGCGAATGTCCTGTCCAGGGCAAACTCCTTAAGCAGTAAGCGCACTGAACTTGAGCCTCCAAGTCCTGGCTCTGCTACTTACAATCTGTGTGACCTTGGGCCAGTCACAACTTTTCTGAGCTTCAGTCTCCTCATCTGTAACCCAGGGATAGTGATACCTACCTCACAGGGCTGTTGTGAAGATTAAGAGAGATAGTGAGTGTGAAAAAAATCCTTGTAGGCCAGGCACGGTGGCTCATGCTTGTAATCCCAGCACTTTGGGAGGCCGAAGCCGGTGGATCGCCTGAGGCCAGGAGTTCAAAATCAGCCTGGCCAACATGGCTAAACACCGTCTCTACTGAAAATACAAAAATCAGCTGGGCTTGGTTGTGGGCACCAATAATCCCAGCTACTTGGGAGGCAGAGGCAGGAGAATGAACCGGGAGGTGGAGTTTGTCGTGAGCTGAGATTGGGCCACTGCACTATAGCCTGGGCAACAGAGCGAGACCCTGTCTCAAAAACAACAACAATGCTGGGCACAGTGGCTCATACCTGTAATCCTAGCACTTCGAAGACCGAGATAGGTGGATTGCCTGAGCTCAGGGGCTCAAGACCAGCCTGGGCCTGTCTCTACTAAAATACAAACAAATAATTAGCTGGGCAACATGGCATATGCCTGTAGTCCCAGCTACTCTGGAGGCTGAGGCAGGAGAATCGCTTGAACCCGGGAGGGGGAGGTTGCAGTGAGCCGAGATCGCGCCACTGCACTCCAGCCTGGGTGACAGAGTGACACTAAAAAAAAAAAAAAAAGAAAAAAGAAACCAAAACAAACCAAAGAAGCAAAACAAAAACAAAAACAAAAACAAAAACAAAATCCTTGTATAACTTTGAGAGAGAGAAGTGGGGATGGCTCTTCCTTTGATGTTTTTCCCCCACTAGCCCTCAAATTGCAGAATCTCTGTAGGCACTGCCGCTTTGCTTGGTCTCAAGAGAAACCACTGCAGCTTCCTACCTACTGCTCCTGGCTTCCAGTGACTGCCTTTTCCCAGAGACATTGCACAATAGATGGAAGGTCAGAGAAGTCATCTATTGTGCCTGGTATGTAGCACTGGCACATAATAATAAATATGTGATACATGAATGATATTATTACTGGAACAGAGTCTTTCTGTCCAGAGTTGGGTATTTTTATTTTATTTATTTTATTTTAAAATGATAAGTAGAGATGGAGTCTGGTTTTGTTGCTGAGGCTGGTCTAGAACTCCTGTACTCTAGATACTCCTGCTTCAGCCTCTCAAAGTGCTGGGATTACAGGCAAGAGACACTGTGGCCAGAGTTGGGTATTTCAATAATCCTGACCAAACTCTCCCAAACCTGCAGACTCTACCCTCGGCCCATGTGCCCTATCCCCTCAATCTTCAACCAGGAACCAATGACACCACTCCATGCTGTCTGCCACCCTTCTCCTTTCTTACACACACAAACACACACACGCTTTGCCGTGGGCCCAGTCTGCCCGATACATACTGGTCTCCGAGATAGAGGCCTGGCCAGACCTCATCGGCATGGTTACAGGCTGTCTTGCCTGTGTAAAGGAGCCGCTCCAACTCAAAGACATTGAGGAAAGGATGTTGAACGGTTGGCATCTCCTCCAGGGTCCCTCGAGTTCGAACAGGAGACCTTGAGCTACTCCGGGAGAAGCGAGCCATAAAAGTCATGGAAGCCCAAAGCCAGTTACCAGGGCACATCTTAGAGGTGGCAGAAACCGTGGCAGCTGCAGGAGTGGCTGCGGTGATGATGGGTTCTGTCGCCAGGTAGCTGCTGCTGGAAGAGGAAGGGGTGTGAGACACACTTGAGTGAGTCCAGAGCAGCTTCTTCCCTTCCCTGGGCTGGTCCTTCGGGAGAAGATTCTAGAGGGAGAGAAGGTAAAGCCTGGCTCTGGCGGGAGCCTTCAGGGGTGGCTTTTCCTTCAAGCTGCAGCAGCTCCTTTTGCTCAGCTCTTTGGCTCTGCCACGCAACGAGGTGGGAGAGTCACATGTCCTTGTTTACGGGGAGAGGGAGCTGCCCAGCTGCTGGATTTCTGCTCTGTCACCCCACCCCCACTGCCAGCACGCGTGTGCACACACACACACACACACACACACTCTTAGCACTTGGGTGGCTGTCCCCACTGCTGGGGATCTTGCCAGCTGGAAACTGGGTCTCATCTGCCTGGGGCTATAGGGAGAGAGCCTAGGGAGCTGGGATGGGGCTGGGGGTACCTTTAGACCCATCCAGAGACAATTAGCAGGGAGACAACAGCAGCTGAGGCCACGACACATGTCAGGCCTGCCACCTCTGTGCCAGAGAGTTAGACTTTAACCCCTTCATGACCTGCCACTGCCTCAGAGATAAACCTGCTGTGGGAAGGGTGTGGTGGGCGGGGGATGGGGTGAGTGGAGAATAGCAATAAAGAGGAACAGTAAGTTTGGGAAAAAAATACTTGCTGAATGCACGAGCTTATGGAAGAAGGCACCAATCTATGTGCACAACAGGCAAACTCCCCTCCTTGGATCAGCATTAAGAAATTACTGATCAGATCTCAGCTCTAATGTGAGAATTTCTGAATAGAAGCAGGGTTGGAGTGTTTTGTCTGTGTGTGTCTTGAAGGGAGGGGGACAGAGGTGGATGGTGGCGGAACTGACGCAGGGTTGAAGTGTTTTGTCTGTGTGTGTCTTGAGGGGAGGGGGACAGAGGTGGATGGTGGGGGGCTAGAAAGCAGGAAGGAAAGGGAAAAATGAAGGATCCTGCCAGGTCCAGGGGCTCAGAGGCTTAGAATTACCAAGTGTATGGCTGTTGGAGTCAAGTGACTCTACAAAACACATGAGGTCAATAACCAGGGGCTTAGCAGTTGTGTCTCAGATGACCTGTTGAGCTGCAGAGCTGGGAAGAACCAGTGTTTGAGGCTTGCCCTGGGACCTTCAGGCAGCGAGGCAACAATGGCAAGACCCCTCCCTTCCCATCTTCTCACACCTGTGGTCCTGCCTGTTTGAAAGCAGGAGGTCCTGGAGCCTGCAGAATCCCCTCCCACTCCCTTCCCGGCCTCCTGCCAGGGGAACTTCAACTCTATGACCAGCAGTGAGAGACCATCTTTGTCCCTGCCCACGCTCTGTCCCCGTCTCACACCCCTAGCCAAGGCCCAGCTCTCCCTTGCCCCAGTGCCAAGAGAAACCAAGCACTTACAGGGCATTAAAAGAGGGGTTTTAGGACCCCGATTGGTGAGGGAAGATTGGATCTTAGGGTGTTTAGGGAGAGAGAGAGTTTTCAATGGCTGGGTCCAGAAGGAGCACAGAAATATAGCACTACAGCCATCACCATCACCATCATCCCCACCACCATCACTATCATCCCTACCACCATCACCACCATCACTATCACCATCACCATCATCTTCTTCTACCTTTGCACTCAGGCCTAAAGACCCCATTACTTTATTACAATACAACCTTTCCTCTTAGCGAGTCTGCTGTCTACGAGATGATGAATGGGATGGGGGAAGCGCGAAGGAGCCCAGGTCTAAGAAGGAGCTCTGTGGGGCTGTTTTTCCCGGGGAGGGGGTGCAGAAGCCCCTTTCTGTCTCAGGATACAGCCCTGGGCATTCTCCAATCCCATCCGTCGGCTCCAGGTGGCCCGCCGCGCCCTCCCTCCGCCTGCGGTCGCCTTTGTAACAGGTCCATGGCTGTCGCCCCAGTCCTCCCAACCAGGCAGCCCGGCCCCGCGCGCGAAGGGAGGTCGCCCGGGAGAGCGCGGCTGGCTCGCTGGGCTCGGGTGCCTGCTTCCCGGTCCCCTCCCTCTCCCGTCTCCCCTAGCTGGGCGCCTCTCTCCAGCCTGGGAAGGCGAAGGCCCACCGCAGCCCCTCTACCTCTTTGCAAGCGCTGCGCTGGGCCTCAGTCCGAAAGGCGGATCGCCGGCGCAGACAGCGCCACGGCCATGACGCTCCCGCTGCTGTCGCCGCCGCCGCCGCTGTTTCTGCCCAAGACAGGTTGACAGATTAGCAGCTATTTTTAAGCCATGACACGCACGTCGAAGCAGGGTTCAAATCAGCGTGTGCACTGGTGACATACAGGGACTCGGTCTCACATTCAGTGGCCCGAGTCGCCGGCAGCGTGGGCTCCCCAGCAACCCCCTAGGAGCCGACGCTCCTTACAGACCAGACACGGCCCCGCCGAGCCCCAGCAGCACCCCCTGGAATGCATGCGTGTGTTTTCGGAGCTGCACCAATTACAAAGCGTTTTGCCTAAAGATTACATTATAAGTCATCCCAGGCAGTGTCTTAAACACACACACTCCTCTCAGACAGAATTAACTAATTACATAGACACGATTCTGTGCACTGGCTTATACATGCCTCGGTCTCAAGAAACCGTGTCATAAAGAACAACGGTCCGTAGCCCCCATTAGCCTTCATTATATGCCATGTACTTCATGTAGCTTAAGACATTTTATCCTCCCCACAAATCTATGAGGGAGGCATGATTACTGTGGTCCTAATTTTAGGGAGGAGGCGACCTAGGCACAGAGAGGCTAAGTACTCTGCCCAGGTCACACAGCTCATTACTGGCAGAGCTGAGCTTGTTCAAACAATGGCAACCTGGATTTGCAGTCTATGTCCTTAACCACTCTCTAAACCAGTGCCTCCCACAAAATGGAGAAGGCACCATGGATTTCCTTCATTCAGGAAGCCATTTCCACCAGCTCAGTTCATAGTGAACGTCACTTTCCCCAGACTCTCAAAACATTCATCTTCATATTAATTTCTTTCTTTTTTGAGATGCAGTCCCACTCTGTCGCCCAGGCTGGAGTGCAGTGATGCAATCTTGGCTCACTGCAACCCCACCTCCCAGGTTCAAGCCATTCTCCTGTCTCAGCTTCCCAAGTAGCTGGGATTACAGGTGCCTGCCTTCATGCCCCGCTAATTTTTTGTACATATGTTTTGTTTGTTTATTTCTTAGTGGGGACGGGATTTCACCATGTTGACCAGGCTGGTCTTGAACTCCTGACCTCAAGTGATAAGCCCACCTTCTCCTCCCAAAGTGCTGAGATTATAGGCATGAGCCACTGTGCCCAGCCATCTTCATACTGATTTCTCATGTGCTGCCTTCTAGTGACATATTCACTTGATCTGCATTTTTATTCTAAGTACCAAGATTGTAAGCACTTTGAAGGCAGGGACTGTGCTACCTTCCCCAGTGCCTACCTCATTGTGTGAGAGGGAAGTGGGGAGATGATAAATGTTAGCAGATGATGCTGTTGAGAACTAGGCTGGCTTGAACTCTGGCTGTCTCCTAGAAGAAAGGCAGGAAGTAGATTGGCTCAGACTGAAGCTGACGGTGTCAGCTATATCTGAAACCAAGACTGACTCCATTCCCAGCAGTGGTGGCAGATCAGGTTTCAATCTCTGGATTAGAGAAAGTAGTGGCCAATGTGACAAACCCCGGGTTCCATGACAGGCTGCCATCCAAGTTTAACATACCTCCTAGCCTTTTTTTTTTCTCTAGAGAAACAAACTTAATTCTTTTCACTTTTCCTTGTCCTTTGTGGTACAGCAGTTTAAATAAGAAATGAAATCCTTTAATTTAAAACAGAGGCAGGGCATGGTGGCTCATGCCTGTAATCCCAGCACTTTGAGAGGCCAGGGCTGGCAGATCACCTGAGGTCAGGAGTTCAAGACCAGCCTGGCCAACATGGTGAAACCCCGTCTCCACTAAAAAACAAAAATTAGCTGGGCGTGGTGGCAGGCGCCTGTAGTCCCAGCTATTTGGGAAGCTGAGGTGGGAGAATCGCTTGAACCTGGGAGGTGGAGGTTGTAATGAGCTGAGATCATGCCACTACACTCTAGCCTGAGCAACAGAGCAAGACTCCATCTCAGCAAACAAACAAACAAAAGCAAATACAAACAAATAATCAGACAAACAAAAAACCCCAAGGAATTGACCTGATAAATTTGAGATTTTAATTTGTGCATCCAGGAAAACCTAGTTAAAACATTTTCACAAAAGGAATTGTGAAAGAGCACTTATAAGATCAATGTCATTTTTTTTGTTTGTTTGTTTGAGACGGAGTTTCGCTCTTTTTGCCCAGGCTGGAGTGCAATGGCGCGATGTCAGCTCACTGCAACCTCCGCCTCCCAGGTTCAAGAGATTCTCCTGCCTCAGCCTTTCGAGTAGCTGGGATTACAGGCATGCGCCACCATGACTGGCTAATTTTGTATTTTTTAGTAGAGACAGGGTTTCTCCATTTTGGCCAGGCTGGTCTCGAACTCCCAACCTCAGGTGAAAATCAATGTCATTTTAAGTGAAAAGTCTTCAAGATTGGTAGGTTGAGAGGATGTTGTAGGTAAAGCTGATCTCAATCTTTGACAAGACTTCTGTTTCAACCCTGCATTGAACTTTTTTCAAAAAGCTGGGAAAATATGGTTTAAAGTACACCACAGACAATGTGCACAGCTGTTTATGGGTAACTATAGAAATTGTCCATGGGCTGGGCGTGGTGGCTTACGCCTGTAATCCCAGCACTTTGGGAGGCCGAGGCAGACGGATCACGAGGTCGGGAGATCGAGATCATCCTGGCTAACATGGTGAAACTCCGTCTCTACTAAAAATACAAAAAAAATTAGCCAGGCTTTGTGGCAGGCACCTGTAGTCCCAGCTACTCGGGAGGCTGAGGCAGAAGAATGGCATGAACCCGGGAGACGGAGCTTGCAGTGAGCTGAGGTGCGCCACTGCACTCCAGCCTGGGCAACAGAGTGAGACTCCGTCTCAAAAAAAAAAACCAAAAAAGCAAAAAAAAAAAAAACAAAGAAAAAAAGAAATTGCCCATGGACTGACATATCCATGAGGATCATTTTCATGAGTTGATCTATAGCCCACTTGATTTCTTTTCTTTTCTTTCTCTTTTTTTTTTTTTTGGAGGCAGGGTCTCAGGCTGGAGTGCAGTGGTACAATCATAGCTCACTGCAGCCTCAACCTCCTGGGCTTAAATAATCGTCTTTTAAATGATCCTCTTGCCTCAACCTCCTAAGTAGCTGGGACTATACAGGTGCCTGCCACAATGCCTGGCATTTTTTTTTTCTTTTTTTCTTTTTTTTTTTTAGGCAGAGTCTTGCTCTGTCTCCTAGGCTGGAGTGCAGTGGTGCGATCTTGGCTCGCTGCAACCTCTGCCTTCCCAGTTCAAGCAATTCTTGTGTGTCAGTCTCCTGAGTAGCTGGGATAACAAGTGTATGCCACCACACCTGGCTAATTTTTGTATTTTTTGTAGAGATGGGGTTTCACCATGTTGGCCAGGCTGGTCTCAAGCTGCTGACCTCAGGTGGTCTGCCCGCCTCAGCCTCTCAAAGTGCTGGAATTAGAGGCCAGAGCCACCATACCTTGCCAATCAGCTCATTTAATCTCACCCATGTATTAAATTGGTGTCATCATTCTGATTGAATACCTGAGAGAGACTGACATTTGGTCAGATTAGTTAACTCATCCACATCTAGTGTGTGGCAGGACATAGGTTCAAACCCAGGGCTATCTTATCTGAAACTTCATTGTTTCAAGACTAGGCTGGAGAATCATTTCCTCTGTAAAGCCTTTTTGGATTCACTCTTTTTTTTTTTGAGACTGAGTCTTGCTCTGTTGCCCAGGCTGGAGTGCAGTGGCACAGTTTCGGCTCACTGCAACCTCTGCCTCCTGGGTTCAAGCAATTCTCCTGCCTCATGCTCCCAAGCAGCTGGAATTATAGGCATGCACTACCACGCCCAGCTAATTTTTTGGATTTTTAGTAGAGGCGGGGTTTCACCATGTTGACCAGGTTGGTCTTGAGCTCCTGACCTCGTGATCCACTTGCCTCAGCCTCCCAAAGTGCTGGGATTATAGGTGTGAGCCGCTGGGCCCAGCCTGCATCCACTCTTTTTTTTTTTTTTTGAGACCAAGTCTCGCTCTGTCACTGCAACCTCTGCTTACCCAGTTCAAGCACGAGTGGCTCAATCTCAGCACACTGCAACCTCCACCTCTCAGGTTCAAGCAATTCTCCTGCATCAGCCTCCCAAGTAGCTGGGACACAAGAGTGTGCCGCCGCGCCTGGCTAAATTTTGTATTTTTAATAGAGACAGGGTTTCGCCATCTTGGCCAAGCGGGTCTCAAACTCCTGATCTCAAGTGATCTGCCCGCCTTGGCCTCCCAAAGTGCTGGGATTACAGGCGTGAGCCACTGTGGCCAGCCTGGATCCACTCTTATTTGTCCATTTCCTTCTTTGTGCTCATATACACTTCCATCAAAGGACCTATGAGCTATATTTGTTTCACTTATTTATATACTTATTTAAATTCATATTGCCCATACTAGAAGCATGAATGGATACACTATGCTGGGGTGAACAGATTACAGATGGAAAAATAAGGCTATGGAAAGATAAAGATAGGGCCAGGTACTGTAGCTCGTGTGCCTGTAATCCCAACACTTTGGCGGACCGAGGTGGGAGGATTTCATGAAGCCAGGAGTTTGAGACCAGCCTAGGGAACATAGTGAGATGGTGTCTCTACAAAAAATAAAGAATTAGCTGGCCATGGTGGCACACACCTGTAGTCCTAGCTACTTGGGAGGGTAAGGTGGGAGGATCACTGGAGCCCAGGAGTTTGAGGCTGCCATGAGTCATGATTGTGCCACTGCACTCCAGCCTGGGTGACTCAAAAAAAAAGATAAAAATAGATTTCAAAATAGTCTTGAAAGAAGTGATTAAATAAATATACAGACAGGGAGGTGTTCAAAAATAGAATGCGGAAAAAAAAAAAAAACCCAAAAACAAGAATGACCATCAATATATGGCGTACACTAAAGGTCAATTCTAACTTCTACCATTTAATTATGGGTTGGACTTTATATGCATTAGCAAATTCAATCCCATAAATAGATTTAATTAATTCAATTTTACAGTTGAGGAAACAGGTTTAAAGCGCTGGTGGTAAATCCACTCTGAGGTCAGAGAGCTAATGAGTGGAATTTGAGCTTGGATTTCAACCTAGAACTATTTTAAACCAAAGCCTGTGCCTCAAACCACTGTAGTAGACTTGAAGAAAATAGAAAGGTAGTTGTTAAAATGTATTAAGCCCTGCTGTGTGCCAGGCATTTAACAGAAATGGCATGAATCATTCTCAAGTGACTCTCCTGGCTTTGTCCCTTCGGGGATGTGGCTCCCTGTGGCAGGATCTGCGAATGCGCACAAAAGGTTGGGACCCGCC